CAAGGCCCCGTGTCCCATTCCCACCCCCCTGACCGGGCCAGTCCCCTGGACAAGTCTGGTTTCACTGTGAAGTGCCCCGAGCTGCCCGCCTGAGGGCACTGCCAGACTCACTCATCTCCCCTCACCCGCCCTCTCCCTGCATGCCAGCCGCTCACCTGAGCCACCTCCCTGCACGCCGCAGCGGCCAGGTGGAAGGGAACCAGCAGGTGGGAGGTGGCCACATACAGCACCTCCACCACAGTGACGGAGGCGGCGAAGGTGTTGACCACGGGAAGCGCCTGGAGGGGGAGGCCACAGAGCCGGGCCAGCAGCGGGAGCAGCGGGGCACAGAACAGCCACACCTGCTTGGTCTTCATCAGGAGGGCGCAGAGCGTGCTCACAAAGATCTGGCCTGGTGGGAAGGCGAGATCAGGCCCGTTAGTGCAGCTGGAGCGTGGCCGTGGCTCACAGCCGGCCCCTGCCGGGTCCCTTCCCACGTCCCACGTCGCTCCCCTGTACAACCAGCATTCCCGGCATGCACATGTCCAGCTGGCACGATGGCTGCAGCCCACAGCCTAGGCAGCGTGGCCTAGTGCTTAGAACACGGGGCTGGGAGTCAGGACTCCTGGGTGCTGTTCCCAGACCTGCCACCGTCTCCTTGTCGGGCGTGGGCGAGCCACTTCCCTGCCTAGAACAGGACGTTAATGCTGCCCCCCGCCACCAGGGGCCAGCGGGACGTTTGCTATTCAGTGAGCGTGGATGGTGCTTTGAGACCCTCAGATGAGAGGTGCTGCGTGAAGGGAGACTCGACTCATCACCAGCTCTCCCAGCCACTGCTGCAAGCAGGCCTGGGCTCACCCTCCTCCCCACGGCCCCCACCCAGCGGCACAGAGGCTGTATGGGAGGGGCTTGACCTGCACCCTGCCTGCAAGGAAGCGCTCCCCACTCAGGTTACAAATGGACACTGGAGGGCGCTGTCCCCCTGGGTAGCGATTAGCCCCGAGCTGTGTCTGTGTCTTTTGAGGTCAGTTGGGAAGTTTTCTGTCTGCTCTACGCACAGCCTCGCCCACACCAACCCCTGTGCAGAGACACCCATTTCAGGTGTATCCACCCGCCACTCACTGACAAACTCCGCTGGGAGAAGCCGGATTGAAAGCCGAGCCAGGGCTGCGGCGTGTAACTGAACGGGTGTATCGCCCACACGGCCCGCTAACCCGCAGCGCAGACCGGCCCTTACGTCCAAACCCAGCCCCCATTCGAAGCCCAAAGCGGGGGGGGGGGGGGGGGGGGGAAGTCACACGCCCCAGGGCGAGCCGAGATGCGGTCAGGATTCGGATTCAAACTCACTCGAGGTGGTGCCGGTCGCTCAGAAGTGCTGCTCAGCCGGCAGTCCGGCTGGGCTCCCCACCGCCCTGTGGGAGCGGGTGTGCCGTGGTCACACTGAGCGGCCATTAAAGGGCCCCCCGACCCGTACCGGTGCCAGCTGTGGGTGTCTCGGCTCCGCTCCGCTCCCTGAACAGGCGCTGGGGGTGGGGAAAGCGTGCCCCGCATGCTCTGCGGCCATTCCGGTTTGGGTGGGAGGGATCCCATGGGAAAACCCTGACCCGGGGACACGCCCCTCCCTCGGGCTGGGGGGCTTCCATCTGCTCCCCGTGCCGAAGGGGAAGATGGGGTGGCCCCACAGAGAGGCGTCTCAGGAAGGGGGGGCCACAGGGGCAGCCTCACCTGTCAGGGCGGTCACGAAGCGGCTGAGCACCACAGGGTCCTGGTACACAGCCCCCTGGAACTCACCCTCCATCTCATGGCGCATGTAGTCCCTGGAAGGAGAGGGGTGGGGTCTTAGCAGCAGGTGCCTGTTCCGTCCCCCCACCCCCCGGCCTGTCAGCTCCACACTCACTCTAGTTAGCCAGAGCCCCAGGTATGCACCTGCGATCTTCTACCAAGTCCCCGTGCCAGCGAAACCCCACCCACCTTTCTCTCCTGATCACACCGCAGGGACAAGCGCTACCCCAGGGCCAGGAGTCAGAGCCATGAAGTCACAGCCCGAGAGCATGCGCCTAAAGTCCCTGTGACAGCTTCCCCCGGAGCTGGGGCTCTCCTCCCAGGGTACCAAGCACTGCGGCGAGGCGCACTGCTAGCCCCCACAGCCCTGCGAGAGCCACGTACGCTGCGTGCCCCTGACAGGGCCGTGGCGAGAGCACAGAGCCCTCGGGGCACTGCAGGGGGCTCACCTGGCCGTCTGGTGCCCCACGAAGAGCAGCAGCAGCGTCAGGCCGTACAGGTACAGTCTCACCAGGGATCTGACTGGGAGCAGCAGCACCACCACACACAGCACGTGGCCTGGGAAAGGGAGAGAACAGGTCAGCCAGCCATGCCTGCCGTCTCCCTTCACTGCGCTGCCCACCCATGCCCGAGGGCACAGCCGGAAATGGCACCCAGCCTTTAGCGCTAGCCCCGTGGGCGCTCCGGTCTCTCCTCTTCAAGCCTTTCCTTGGAGTCTCTCTGCCCCGGCCCCCATCCTCTTACCTTAGCGACGAAAGGAGAAACCAGTTCAAACTCAGCCACGTGTGTTAAGATACTGCGCTTTCCCAAACAACTCCATCTATACGCTACACGCAGTGGGAGCTTCGCCCACCACTGAAATGCAGCCGCCTCTGGAGCAGGGTGCGGCAGCTGCTGAACAGCGACACTGAACAACAGGAAGGGGCTATCACCCATTGCAGAGGTGCACTAGTGTGGGTCATCCAGCAGGTCAGGAGGGGGCAGCTGCCTCTCTCCTGTAGGCCCTCGGGGCTCTGACCAGCCTCCAGCAGCCTGGGCCCAAGGTCTCGCACCCGACAGAGTCCCCGCCCTGCAACCCTAACTCACAGAGCAAGGCCCAAAGACATTGGAGGCAACCGGTCTGTCTGCGGCAGGGTGAGTCGTTCTGTACCTGGCCTTGCAAAGCCAGGCCCGGAATAGTGCGTTCAGGCGTGGGCACCTCAGCGTGTGATTCCCTTACCCGCTCTGGGCCTCACTTCCTCTCTCTGGCAGCCTTGGACTCAAATCCTTTCTCCACGCAGGAGCCAACACTGGACTAGAAGGGGAAAACCTGCGCGCACTAGTAAAAATGGCACCATGGGACTCTGTTCACTGCCTCTCAGGGATGCCTGGGGGGAGGGATAGCTCAGTGGTTTGAGCATTGGCCTGCTAAACCCAGGGTTGTGAGTTCAATCCTTGAGGGGGCCATTTAGGAAACTGGGGTAAAAATCTACCTGGGGATGGGTCCGGCTTTGAGCAGGGGATTGGACTAGATGACTTCTGAGATCCCTTCCAACCCTGATAGTCTAGATTCAATGGGCTTGGATTGCAAGTGAACAGGTTTTAACAAAACCTGCCAGCCCTGCAAACTGCCCTGGGACCCGACCATCAAGCCAGGTCCTTCCTCCTCACACAGCAACAAGAAAGCGTCTGCATTCAGAACGTGGTTAATGATTCTCTGGATGATGCACAAGTCAAACCCATAAGAACGGCCAGAGTGGGTCAGACCAATGCTCCAGCTAGCCCAGTATCCTGTCTGCCGACAGCGGCCAATGCCAGGGAATTGCCTTCAGAGGGAATGAACAGTACAGAGCAATTATCGAGTGATCCATCCCGTGGTTCACTCCCAGCTTCTGGCAGTCAGAGGCTAGGGACACCCAGAGCATGGGGCTGCAGCCATGACTAATAGCCATGGATGGACCTATCCTCCAGGAACTTACCTAGTTCTTTTCTGAACCCAAACCCAGCTCCCTCGCCCAAGGCAGCATCCACCCTGCAGAGCTCACGAGCCAACAGACCAGCTCCCGCTGGCCCGGGAAGGAGCCAAATGGAGCTAGTTACATGCCCAGACCTGAGGAGGAAAGGGCTATTTTGCAGCGGAGCCGTGCTCCCAGCTAGCACTCCCGGGACAACCTGCAAACCAAAGACCTTTATCCTGCTGTCAAACTGCCGGAGACTGGAGCACCCAGGACACGGAGATCCCCAGGCCTGCCAGTCACATCAAAGCTTGTGAGAGGTGTTGCCTAGACAGATACCTGGGGGCAGGGGAAGCTGGGCTGCCCCCTGGGGTGCCCTTCTGTCCGGGCCCATAGTTAGCTACTGTTATCGGGCAGCGAATGAAGCAGGGTCCCGCTGTGCTAGGATCGATCCACCACTCCTGCAGCCGATCCCCCGGCGATGTGACAGGCAAGAGCTCCACCCAAAATATGCCCCGTTCAGAGCGCTCTCACAAGCCGGCCTGCCACGCACACAGCCTAGTCTGACTTCTGTATTTGGGGGGATAGGGAACACCATGGGGTGGCTAATATGCAGGAGCCCCCAGCTGGGGGGGCGCCTTGGAAGCCACAGCTGGAAACCACCCAGCCTCCAGGGGCTCGGGGTGGGGGCTCCCCACTCCCGCACATGGGTTTCCTGCTGACTCAGCCAGCCCCGCTCAGTCACATGGTGCCGCTGGGCCCCCTCCATGCACGGTAGCTGGTGGAGCCCTGACCTCGGAGACCAGACAATCTGTGCCCCGCGGGGAGAGGCTGGAACAGCAGCTGGGCGCTGCAGGGAGGGGGTGCCGCTTTCTGGGGGAGCACAGTGAGGGCAAGGGAGGGTTGTGCCGGGGGATTGGAGGGTCTGACTGACTTGAGCTGTTTGGGGGAGCAGCTGAACCTTTAAATTGTGCCCCCCACTATCCACACATACAGCTTGGGGGGGCAGCACCCAGTCTCCGCCCAGGACCCTACGCCCCCATACAGACAGTGCCCCGCTCCAGCTGTGGCGCATGCAGACAGCCGGCCCAAGCACGCCGCGCGCCAAGGAGCAATGCATGCTGGGACTCAGTCTGCACCTCCCACCCGCGTCCAGCTGAAACACGAGGGTGGGCGGCCCCGACACCTCCCCGGGCCTCGCTGTCCCCTCCTGGACGCTCCCTGGGAGGGCGCAGACCTCGCGGCCCGGAGCAGGGCCGCTCCCCCGTGCCCCCAGCCTCACCCAGGTAGTAGCCGTGCCACAGGGCGCGGCGGCGCCACGACGCCTCCTCCTGCTTGGGCCGGAGCAGCTCGGCAAAGGCCTGGACGTCCCAGCGGTAGAGCAGGTCCAGCAGGACGATGCTGGGCACCCGCAGCACCACGTTGGCCACCTCCTCCAGCCGCGGCATGGCCGGGCCCCGGGGCCGGGCCGCTGGGGGGCCACCTAGGGGAGCCAATGGGGGGGGGGGGGCGGGGCGCCCCGGGGGGGGGGGGGGGGGGGGGGGGGGGGCCCTGTCCCGCGAGGAGGCTCTCAGCGGGGGGGTCTCCCCGTGTCCCCCCGCCGGCTCTCACCGGACGGGTCACGCCGGGGGGGGGGGGTCTCTCCCTAACGGGGGGGGGGGGGGGGGGGCCGTTCCCTGCCCGCGGCGCGGCGGCCTCTCTGTCACTTTCACTTTCTCCCGGTCCCGCCCCCGCCGGAAAGCCTGGCGCAGGCTCCCCGTGACGCC